GACACCAATGACAACAGTGACAACGGTGACAACAGTGATAACAGTGACAAATGTGACAATGGTGACAAAAGTGACAACAGTGACAACGGTGACAAGAGTGACAACATTAACAACAGTGACAACAGTGACAACAATGACAACAGTGACAACACTGACAACAGTGACAACGGTGAGAACAGTGACAACAGTGACAACAGTGACAGCGGTAACAACATTGACAACAGTGACAACACTGACAACAGTGACAACGGTGAGAACAGTGACAACAGTGACAACAGTGACAGCGGTGACAACACTGACAACGGTGACAACAGTGACAACGGTGACAACAGTGACCACGGGGACGACCCTGACAACGGTGACAATGGGTGACAACAGTGACAACGGTGACAAGAGTGACAACAGTAACAACAGTGACAACATTGACAACAGTGACAACACTGACAACAGTGACAACGGTGAGAACAGTGACAACAGTGACAACAGTGACAGCGGTGACAACACTGACAATGGTGACAAAAGTGGCAACAGTGACAACGATGATAACTGTGAGAACAGTGACAACAATGAGAACAGTGACAACGGTGACAACAGTGACAAATGTGACAATGGTGACAAAAGTGACAACAGTGACAACGGTGACAACAGTGACAACAGTGACAGTCGTGACAACGTTGACAAAAGTGACAACAGTGACAACGGTGACAACGGTGACAACAGTTACAACAGTGACAACAGTGACAACGGTGACAACTGTGACAACAGTGACAATGGTGACAACGGTGACAACAGTGACCACGGGGACGACCCTGACAACAGTGACAACGGTGACAACAGTGACAACGGTGACATCAGCAAAAATGATGACAACGGTGACAACAGTGACATTGGTGACAACGGCGACAACAGTGCCTATGGAGACAAAAGCAACAACAGTCAAAACGGAGACAACAGCGACAACAGTGACAACGGTGACAAGAGTGACAACAGCGACAACAGTGACAATGGTGACATCAGCAAAAATGATGACCGCAGTGATAACAGTGACAATGGTGACAACGGCGACAACAGTGACAACGGTGCCAACGGTGACAATGGAGACAAAAGCAACAACAGTCAAAACGGAGACAAAAGCAACAACAGTGACAACGGTGACAACAGTGACAACAGTAACAGCAGTGACAACAGTGACAACGATGACAACGGTGACAACGGTGACAACAGTGACAACAGTGACACCAGTGACAATGGTGACAAAATGACAACAGTGACAACAGTGACAACAGTGACAACAGTGACAACGGTGACAACCGTGACAACGGAGACAAATGTGACAACGGTGACAACAGTCAGAACGGTGACAACAGTGACAACAGTGACAACCGTGACAACGGTGACAACAGTGACAACAATGACAACAGTGACAGCAGTGACAACAGTGACATCAGTGACAATAGGTGACAACAGTGACAACAGTGACTACAGTGACAACATTCACAACAGTGACAACACTGACAACAGTGACAACGGTGAGAACGGTGACAACGGTTACAAAAGTGACAACAATGACAACTGTGAGAACAATGACTACGGTGACAACGGTGACAACAGTGACAGCGGTGACAACAGTGACAACCAAGACAATGGCGACAACAGTGACAACGGTGACAACAGTGACAACTGCGACAAAAGTGACAACGATGACATGGGTGACAACCGTGACACCAATGACAACAGTGACAATGGTGACAACAGTGACAACAGTGACAAATGTGACAATGGTGACAAAAGTGACAACAGTGACAACGGTGACAACAGTGACAACAGTGACAACGGTGACAACAGTGACAACGGTGACAACAGTGACAACAGTGACAACATTGACAACAGTGACAACAGTGACAACAGTGGCAACGGTGAGAACAGTGACAACATTGACAACAGTGACAGCGGTGACAACACTGACAAGGGTGACAACAGTGACCACGGGGACGACCCTGACAACGGTGACAATGGGTGACAACAGTGATAACAGTGACAACGGTGACAACAGTGACAACAGTAACAACAGTGACAACAGTGACAACATTGACAACAGTGACAACACTGACAACACTGACAACAGTGACAACGGTGAGAACAGTGACAACAGTGACAACAATGACAACAGTGACAGCAGTGACAACAGTGACATCAGTGACAATAGGTGACAACAGTGACAACAGTGAAAACAGTGACTACAGTGACAACATTCACAACAGTGACAACACGTGACAACAGTGACAACGGTGACAACGGTGACAACACTGACAACAGTGACAACGGTGACAACAGTGACAACGGTGACAACAGTGACAACAGTGACAACCGTGACAACGGTGACAACGGTGACAACAGTGACAACGGTGACAACAGTGACCACGGGGACGACCCTGACAACAGTGACAACGGTGACAAAAGTGACAACTGTGACAACGGTGACATCTCTGCCAAGAGTGACAACGGAGACAACAGTGACAACACTGACTACGGTGACAACAGTGACAACGATGACAACGGTGACAAGAGTGACAACAGCGACAAAACTGAAAACAGTGACAACAGCGACAACAGTGACATCAGCAAAAATGATGACCGCAGTGATAACAGTGACAATGGTGACAACGGCGACAACAGTGACAACGGTGCCAACGGTGACAATGGAGACAAAAGCAACAACAGTCAAAACGGAGACAAAAGCAACAACAGTGACAACGGTGACAACAGTGACAACAGTAACAGCAGTGACAACAGTGACCGTAGTGACAACGATGACAACGGTGACAACAGTGACAACAGTGACAACGGTGACAACCGTGACAACGGAGACAAATGTGACAACGGTGACAACAGTCAGAACGGTGACAACAGTGACAACAGTGACAACCGTGACAACGGTGACAACAGTGACAACAATGACAACAGTGACAGCAGTGACAACAGTGACAACATTCACAACAGTGACAACACTGACAACAGTGACAACGGTGACAACGGTGACAACACTGACAACAGTGACAACGGTGACAACAGTGACAACAGTGACAATGGGTAAGAAGAGTGACAACAGTGACAACAGTAACAACAGTGACAACATTGACAACGGTGACAACACTGACAACGGTGACAAAAGTGACAACAGTGACACCGATGACAACTGTGACAACCGTGACAACAATGAGAACAGTGACAACAGTGACACCAGTGATAATGGTGACAAAAGTGACAACAGTGACAACGGCGACAACAGTGACAACAGTGACAACGGTGACAACCGTGACAACGGTGACAAATGTGACAACGGTGACAACAGTGACAATGGTGACAACCGTGACAACCGTGACAACGGTGACAACGGTGACAACAGTGACAACGATGAAAACAGTGACAACAGTGACAGCGGTGACAACATTGACAACAGTGACAATAGGTGACAACAGTGACAACGGTGACAACAGTGACAACAGTAACAACAGTGACTACAGTGACAACATTCACAACAGTGACAACACTGACAACAGTGACAACGGTGACAACAGTGACAACAGTTACAATCGTGACAACGGTGACAACGGTGACAACGGTGACAACCTTGACAATAGTGACAACAGTGAGAACTGTGACAACGGTGACAACTGTGACAAGAGTGACAACGGTGACAACAGTGACAACAGTGACAACGGTGACAAGAGTGACAACAGTAACAACAGTGACAACAGTGACAACATTGACAACAGTGACAACACTGACAACAGTGACAACGGTGAGAACAGTGACAAGAGTGACAACATTGACAGCGGTGACAACACTGACAACGGTGACAAAAGTGACAACAGTGACAACGATGACAACTGTGTCAACCGTGACAACAATGAGAATAGTGACAACGGTGACAACCGTGACAAATGTGACAATGGTGACAAAAGTGACAACAGTGACAACGGTGACAACAGTGACAACGGTGACAACAGTGACAACAGTGACAGTCGTGACAATGTTGACAAAAAGTGACAACGGTGACAACAGTGACAACAGTGACAACGGTGACAACAGTGACAGCAGTGACAATGGTGACAACGGTGACAACAGTGACCACGGGGACGACCGTCACAACAGTGACAACGGTGACAACAGTGACAACGGTGACATCAGCAAAAATGATGACAACTGTGACAACAGTGACATTGGTGACAACGGCGACAACAGTGACAACGGTGCCAACGGTGACAATGGAGACAAAAGCAACAACAGTCAAAACGGAGACAACAGCGACAGAAGTGACAACGGTGACAATAGTGACAACAGTAACAACAGTGACAACAATGACCGTAGTGACAACATTGGCAACGGTGACAAGGGTCACAACGATGACAAGAGTGACAACAGTGAGAACGGTGTCAACAGTGACAACAGTAGGGAGCTTAAGATGCGGACGTTTTCGCGGTGACGGCGACGTGACAGCCCAGGTGGACTGGGCCAGAGGTTGCCGTTCTCGCGCCAAAATTAATTTGCTAAAGATTCTCATGACGGCTTCCGCGACTTCGTCGAGTACATCGGCTGTACTTTCTGAGATTCAATCGCTTTTGTTCGTAGCATGGCCGCATTTGAAGATTTTCGACAACTTCTCATTCTTTACTACGACGCTAATTTGATCAACGATGAAGATTTCGTTCTCCTTTACGACATGTTTCCGTCGAGAAATCCAAGTTTTCCTTACTACGAGTACGCTTGCTTTGACCTGAACAACATGAGTGAGGCAGAGTGTAAGGCCGAATTTAGGTTTGAGAAAAAAGACCTTCCGACTCTGGCAGAAGCCTTGCAGATCCCACCATCCTTCAAACTACGCCAGGAAGCATAGTAAGTGGAATGGAAGGCCTCTGCATACTCCTAAGACGGCTCGCCTATCCTTGTAGATTTGGCGACATGGTACCTCGTTCGACAAACCAGTACCAGTGCTATCCATGGTCACAAATCATGTGATTGATTATATTTACACCATCCATGGACATCGCATAACCCGCTGGAATGACGCACTGCTTAACCCACCTGCATTGGATACTTATGCTCGATCAGCTCATGCTAAAGGGGCTGCTCTACAGAACTGTTTTGGCTTTGTTGATGGCACTGTGAGACCTATAGCCAGACCAGACGAGCACCAGAGAATGATGTATAATGGTCATAAACGGGTGCACGCCATTAAATTCCAATCTGTTGCCTTACCGAATGGATTGATCGCAAACCTTTACGGCCCCGTAGGTAAAGATCTTTTTAACTTGCTCTTATTTATAAATAAATGTCGATCAGGTTTATGAAAAGAGCAACTCAAACGGAAAAGGTACAAACATGGTTTCGGAAGGTATTTGTTTTCCCCTTCAAGTGTCTGTTTTATAGTATAATCTACGACAAACGCCTTTAGTGATCAGGGCAATGAAAGGTTGATCTCATGACACCATTTAACAGAAGCGTTGCATGATGAAAAACAATGATATTCCATGAAACAAACCTAAGACTTTTAACTTCTTCTTCCAGAGGGCAAAAGGCATGATGCAGGTATGCTGGCAGAATCTGGTCTCTTGCATGACTTGGAACGCCATGCATTTTCGACAGGGGGTCAGCCTCTATGCATATATGGGGATCCTGCATATCCCCTCAGGGTTCACCTGCAAGGACCATTCCAAGGTGCTGCTCTCACACCTCAGATGGAGATGTTCAATGGATCCATGAGCTCTGTTCGAGTGTCAGTGGAGTGGCTGTTTGGAGACATTTTAAACTATTTTAAATTCCTTGATTTTAAAAAGAACCTAAAAGTTGGCTTAAGTAATATTGGCAAAACATATGTCGTATGTGCTCTCATGCGAAATGCCCTAACATGCCTCTATGGTAATCAAACCTCAGAATTTTTTGAATTAGACCCCCCAAGCCTCCAGGGGTATTTCAGGTGACCTAAAACCGTTTGCTATCTTTATTCTTTATTTACTGCCTGAATATACACTGAAGCAGTGATAGTCAAACAACTGGTTAACAGGTTAACACTTTCCTCCCAGAATCAGCCCTGAGGGGTGGGGGGAGGGGGTGGTGGTACTTTACGATTTTTTGTGTGGGGGTGTGCCACAGAGACCCTGGAACCCTTAACCTATACCAGAGCTAGTTCAGCTGAATTTTGCTACCCTATACTAGACTTAACTTCCCAAATCCCCCCTGCCACTATCCTAGAATAGCTTTTCGGCTGAGTTGCGTAAATTCAAACTTGTCGATTTGATTTTTATTTTTAGTGGCAATTCCGGTTTCCTAATCTAGACTAAAATCTCCCCGTCCACCCCACCCCTGCTTGGGGAAACGGCACAAGCTATAAAAGATCATACACTGTATTATACAAAGCAGACATATTGTTCCACAAAAATAAAAGCAGTTGTTACTATTTGCATCCACTTATACAACAAATGGCATGCCATTTAGTTCAATGGTCAGTTGTTCAAAAGTTAGATAGTGTTATCCAGCACATAAATCACTATAACGGTTTCTTTAGAGGATGAGCACTTTCCGCCATTTGAACAACTGGTCCCAGTTTAATGCTGATAAAGGCACATACTTTCAAAGTTGAGGCACCTCTAATATCAAGTTTAACAACTTATACATTGTTTACACAAATGTAAGTATTGAAGAAATAAACCTTTTCACAATACAATAATTTTTGTCAGTTCAAAAAATCAAATCAAATTTATCTTTTGCAATGTAGTCAGGGCTTTCAATAATCACTTGACTCAATTTAATATATGACATATTTTCATAGCCCGTATTCTGAAAGGGTAATCACCTGATTGACACATGCATAATACAGCTAAATTGAAACTGGATCAATGAAACTAGAAAAAAAATGTGATTATGATAATGATAACTCAACAATCAACCACCACTCTAGCAGAAATGGAGTTAAAAGAACAGTTGAATGCAAAATTATGTCACTAACAAGAGAAAAATAATTGCAGTAGTGCAATAGTTGAAAAAGAAAAGTTGCAATAAAAAATGTTAACGCTTTTCCTTGGGAGCCAGCCTCTCAATCAAAGCTAACATAGCCTGTGATTGCTGCTGCTGCTGGTTCAACATAGACTGCATAAACTGTAGTGTTTGCTGTTGGTTTCTTTGCTGCTGTCTATGCTGTTCTTCTTGTTGTTGCTGAATAATCTTTAGCATATCTTGCTGCATTTTTGTTTGCTGCTCCGATATCCGAGATCCTCTTGCCTCTTCCTGCTTTCTTATTTCAATTTCTTCTCTTTTTAATGCCATCTCTTCTTCTGCTTTCTTTTGCAAGTATCCAATAGCATCTCCTGTACTTTTCCTGCTTTTCTTTGGTGGAACCACTCCATTTGTTTTCTCCATCCGTTTTTGAGTTTCTCCCATGGTTTCCATTGCCTTGAACCGCATCTCTTCAGCTGTTGCCTTCTCTTTCTGAAGGTTTTGCTTTTTGTTGCCAGTTGAAGGCTTATTTTTAGCTTCTTCCTCTTTTTCACACAGCTCCTCCAGCAGAGTATCTATCTCTTGTATTTCTGGACTAATACCACTTGCTCTTTCTTCCTCCTATTTTTTTTGCTTTGAATTTGGACATTAGAAGATTGAGCCTGTCTCTCAACGACCTTTTGTTCACATTGAATTTGCATTGGGTGAGGTTATTGAGTCTTGTGGCAATCTCATCCCACAATTTTCCTCTCTCAGGGCTCCCTTCCTGGTTTCAAAAGATCTGATCCCTGACCTCTCTCAAAAAATAATGTGTCATGTTGATTTGTCCACTCCATTGTGCTGAAAGGGAATCAAAGTTTATTTTAGCACTTGATTTCAAAAACGGTGGAAACAGTAGTTTTCCTTTTCCAGACTGAGTCCTTGCACTGATTTACTGAATATTTGCTGGATGAAATTGTTCTGTTTAATACGCACTGTACGTATCCACATAAAGTATTGCTCTAAATTCACAGCACTTCATCGAAGAAATATTTCAAGTGTGGTTATACAAGCCTTAAGAGTACATTTACATATCGATGAGCTATGTAGTGGATTTGTTGGCTAAGTGTAAAAAAATTCAGAACAAAATATTTATCTCTGCACTTTTTAGCAGCCTTCAGAACTCCAAAATTCTTTATCGCCTAAGAAAATTCGGATTCAATATGCCACTAAGAAATTAAAAAATGCATTGGAGTCGGTAAAATATATTATATATATATATGTTTTACAAAAAAGAATTTGTTGAACGTAACAGCTTATTTATCTTTACAGACTTACTTAGATTGTTTTGTCTTCACTGAACTAGCTTCAGACTCTTCGGTCATTTTCCAGAGTTTTGTCTGTGAAGAGAGCACAAAAAGCCGCTAGAGTTACTTGGCACATCCTCAGGTGGTTTGTGCTAATAAAGAAACTGAAAACAAAACAAGGAATGAAGAGTACAAGAAAGAAATAGCGGTATAAATACTCACGTTTTCACTGCGACGGCAAAATCCCCAAACTGACGTCGCCGACGTGAGGGCGACGGCGGGAATGTTGGAAATCGCATGCGCAGTTAAACTCGCCCCAATCCTAATCGGTCTTTACGTCACCGTCGCGTCGAAAACGTCCGCATCTTAAGCTCCCTAGTGACAATGGTGACAACGGTGACAACAGTGACAGTCTTGACAATGTTGGCAAAAGTAACAACAGTGACAACAGTGACAACAGTGACAGCTGTGACAACACTGACAAGGGTCACAACGATGACAAGAGTGACAACAGTGAGAACGGTGTCAACAGTGACAACAGTGACAATGGTGACAACGGTGACAACAGTGACAGTCTTGACAATGTTGGCAAAAGTAACAACAGTGACAACAGTGACAACAGTGACAGCGGTGACAACACTGACAACGGTGACAAAAGTGACAACAGTGACAACGATGACAACTGTGACAACCGTGACAACAATGAGAATAGTGACAACGGTGACAACCGTGACAAATGTGACAATGGTGACAAAAGTGACAACGGTGACAACGGTGACAACAGTGACAACAGTAACAGCAGTGACAACAGTGACCGTAGTGACAACAGTGACAACGATGACAACGGTGACAACGGTGACAACAGTGACAACCGTGACACCGGTGACAATGGTGACAAAATTGACAACAGTGACAACAGTGACAACAGTGACAACAGTGACAACGGTGACAACCGTGACAACGGAGACAAATGTGACAACGGTGACAACAGTCTGAACGGTGACAACAGTGACAACCGTGACAACGGTGACAACAGTGACAACAGTGACAACAATGACAACAGTGACAGCAGTGACAACAGTGACATCAGTGACAATAGGTGACAACAGTTACAACAGTGACTACAGTGACAACATTCACAACAGTGACAACACTGACAACAGTGACAACGGTGACAACGGTGACAACACTGACAACAGTGACAACGGTGACAACAGTGACAACAGTGACAATGGGTGACAAGAGTGACAACAGTGACAACAGTAACAACAGTGACAACAGTGACAACATTGACAACAGTGACAACACTGACAACAGTGACAACAGTGACAACGGTGAGAACAGTGACAACAGTGACAACGGTGACAACACTGACAACGGTGACAAAAGTGACAACAGTGACACCGATGACAACTGTGACAACCGTGACAACAATGAGAACAGTGACAACAGTGACACCAGTGATAATGGTGACAAAAGTGACAACAGTGACAACGGCGACAACAGTGACAACGGTGACAACCGTGACAACGGTGACAAATGTGACAACGGTGACAACAGTGACAATGGTGACAACCGTGACAACGGTGACAACGGTGACAACGGTGACAACAGTGACAACGATGAAAACAGTGACAACAGTGACAGCGGTGACAACAGTGACAACAGTGACAATAGGTGACAACAGTGACAACGGTGACAACAGTGACAACAGTAACAACAGTGACTACAGTGACAACATTCACAACAGTGACAACACTGACAACAGTGACAACGGTGACAACCGTGACAACAGTGACAATCGTGACAACGGTGACAACGGTGACAACGGTGACAACAGTGACAACGGTGACAATAGTGACAACAGTGAGAACTGTGACAACGGTGACAACTGTGACAAGAGTGACAACGGTGACAACAGTGACAACAGTGACAACGGTGACAAGAGTGACAACAGTAACAACAGTGAACCCAGTGACAACATTGACAACAATGACAACACTGACAACAGTGACAACGCTGAGAACACTGACAACACTGACAACGGTGACAAAAGTGACAACAGTGACAACGATGACAACTGTGACAACCGTGACAACAATGAGAATAGTGACAACGGTGACAACCGTGACAAATGTGACAATGGTGACAAAAGTGACAACAGTGACAACGGTGACAACAGTGACAACAGTGACAGTCGTGACAATGTTGACAAAAGTGACAACAGTGACAACGGTGACAACAGTGACAACAGTGACAACAGTGACAACGGTGACAACAGTGACAGCAGTGACAATGGTGACAACGGTGACAACAGTGACCACGGGGACGACCGTCACAACAGTGACAACGGTGACAACAGTGACAACGGTGACAAATGTGACAACGGTGACAACAGTGACAATGGTGACAACCGTGACAACCGTGACAACGGTGACAACAGTGACAACGATGAAAACAGTGACAACAGTGACACCGGTGACAACAGTGACAACAGTGACAATAGGTGACAACAGTGACAACGGTGACAACGGTGACAACAGTGACAACAGTGACAACAGTAACAACAGTGACTACAGTGACAACATTCACAACAGTGACAACACTGACAACAGTGACAACGGTGACAACAGTGACAACAGTGACAATCGTGACAACGGTGACAACGGTGACAACAGTGACAACGGTGACAACAGTGAGAACTGTGACAACGATGACAACTGTGACAACCGTGACAACAATAAGAATAGTGACAACGGTGACAACCGTGACAAATGTGACAATGGTGACAAAAGTGACAACAGTGACAACGGTGACAACAGTGACAACAGTAACAGCAGTGACAACAGTGACCGTAGTGACAACAGTGACAACGATGACAACGGTGACAATCGTGACACCAGTGACAATGGTGACAAAATTGACAACAGTGACATGAGTGACAACAGTGACAACGGTGACAACCGTGACAACGGAGACAAATGTGACAACGGTGACAACAGTCAGAACGGTGACAACAGTGACAACAGTGACAACCGTGACAACGGTGACAACAGTGACAACAGTGACAACAATCACAACAGTGACAGCAGTGACAACAGTGACATCAGTGACAATAGGTGACAACAGTGACAACAGTGACTACAGTGACAACATTCACAACAGTGACAACACTGACAACAGTGACAACGGTGACAACGGTGACAACACTGACAACAGTGACAACGGTGACAACAGTGACAACAGTGACAATGGGTGACAGGAGTGACAACAGTGACAACAGTAACAACAGTGACAACAGTGACAACATTGACAACAGTGACAACACTGACAACAGTGACAACAGTGACAACGGTGAGAACAGTGACAACAGTGACAACGGTGACAACACTGACAACGGTGACAAAAGTGACAACAGTGACACCGATGACAACTGTGACAACCGTGACAACAATAAGAACAGTGACAACAGTGACAACGTCGACAACAGTGACAACGGTGACAACCGTGACAACGGTGACAAATGTGACAACGGTGACAACAGTGACAATGGTGACAACCGTGACAACCGTGACAACGGTGACAACAGTGACAACGATGAAAACAGTGACAACAGTGACACCGGTGACAACAGTGACAACAGTGACAATAGGTGACAACAGTGACAACGGTGACAACGGTGACAACAGTGACAACAGTGACAACAGTAACAACAGTGACTACAGTGACAACATTCACAACAGTGACAACACTGACAACAGTGACAACGGTGACAACAGTGACAACAGTGACAATCGTGACAACGGTGACAACGGTGACAACAGTGACAACGGTGACAACAGTGACAACTGTGACAACGGTGACAACTGTGACAAGAGTGACAACGGTGACAACAGTGACAACAGTGACAACAGTGACAACGGTGACAAGAGTGACAACAGTAACAACAGTGACAACATTGACAACAGTGACAACAGTGACAACGGTGAGAACAGTGACAACAGTGACAACAGTGATAGCGGTGACAACACTGACAACGGTGACAAAAGTGACAACAGTGACAACGATGACAACTGTGACAACCGTGACAACAATGAGAATAGTGACAACGGTGACAACCGTGACAAATGTGACAATGGTGACAAAAGTGACAACAGTGACAACGGTGACAACAGTGACAAC